GAAATGCCGGACTCAGAACCCTAACCATGAAAGGACAGAAGATGGAACAAGTTAATCAACCACCTCAGCTATAGGTTGGCAACAAAATACCAGGCAAATAGAGACGCTATGATGGACAATGTCAATCAGTGGATTTTTCAACGACCTCATCGTGTTTGGAGGGGCGAGATTGGCAGCGATTCATAACTGGTGAACTATCGAAACCACTTGAGCGAATATCTCGGAGCATGCCCCACATTAGGGACCTGGGGTGGGTGGGAAACCGGGTGGGGCTTCTCCCTCAATATCCCCCTTTACCTCAGATACATGAAGGAAACAATATGGAAATGATAATCTTACCCACTTTCCTGTAGCCCTTGAACCTTTTTACCCAAATTAACTATGTAAAGATTGTCAAAATAAAAAAAAATTTTTTTTTAAAAACTATGCTTTAGTAATAATATAGGGACCTCAGTGGGAGGTGAGGGGAGGGAACTTGGGGAGGGAGTAAGGGAAATCCCAGGGCCTGTGGAACTGTATCATAAAATGATAATAATTTTTTAAAGATTTATTTATTTTTATTTCAAAGTCAGATATACATAGAGGAGAGACAGAGAGGAAGATCTTCCGTCTGATGATTCACTCCCCAAGTGAGCGCAACGGCCGGGTCTGCGTGGATCCGAAGCCGGGAACCAGAAACCTCTTCCAGGTCTCCCACACGGGTGCAGGGTCCCAAGGCTTTGGGCCGTCCTCCACTGCTTTCCCAGGCCACAGGCAGGGAGCTGGATGGGAAGTGGGGCAGCCAGGACTAGAACCGGCACCCATATGGGATCCCTGTGCATTCAAGGCAAGGACTTTAGCAACTAGGCCACGCCGCCGGGCCCAAAAATGATAATAATTTTAAAAAGATTTTAAAAAACAAAGTGGCAGCTTTCTTGAGCCGCCATTATGAACATCAAGCTATAGCAGTCCACGTTTTTCTTTCTCTTGCCAATTCCACACATGCTTCCTTGAGTTCCAAACTCACCTAAAGCAGGTCTCCAGCAGCAAGTTGTGGTTTAAACCACTGCATTACAAACTGCCCCTCAATGGTGTTTTTTGAGTTTTGTTATTTATTTGATAGGCAGAGTAACAGAAAGCAAGAGACAGATCTTCTAGCCACTGGTTCATTCCCCAGTAGGAATGGAACAGGCTAAATCCAGGAATCTGAAATTCCATCTGGTTCTCACACCTAGGTAGCAGGGGCTCATATATTTGAGCCACTTCTACCACTTTCAATAATGCATTAACAAGAAGCTGGGTCCAAAGTGGAGCACCTGGGCCTAGCACGATAGCATAGTGGTTAAAGTCCTCAACTTGCACGGGCCGGGATCCCATATGTCACCGGTTCTAAAGTGGAGCATCTGGCATTGACCCCTTGGTTCAACAGGCTAACCCTTCACCTTCAAGTCCCAGCATCCCATATGGGTGTCGGTTCCTGTTCCAGCTGCCCCACTTCCCATCCAGCTCCCGGCTTGTGGCCTGAGAAAGCAGTGGATGACAGCCCAAAGCTTTGGGACCCTGCACCCGCGTGGGAGACCCAGAGGAGGCTCCAGGAGGCTTTGGATCGGCTCAGCTCTGTCTATCCCAGCTACTTGAGAGGTGAACCAGCTGATGGAAGATCTTACACTTTCTGCTTCACTCTATAAACCTGCCTTTCCAATAGATGCTGAAACTGAAAAAAAAAAGTTACTTTTTTAAAAAGCGGAGCATTTTGGATTCAACACAGACATGCTGACTTACCCCTTTGCAGGGCCGTGGTCCTCCTGCCCTTTACCTATCCCAGCACTCTATCTGATGTAGGATTAAGCCAGCTGGGGCCAGCGTCATGGCTCAACTGGCTAATCTTCTGCCTTCAAGCTCTGACATCCCACATGGGTGCTGGTTCATGTCCCAGCTGCTCCACTTCCTATCCAACTCTCTGTGGTCTGGGAAAGGAATGGAGGATAACCCAAAACCTTGGAACCCTATACCGACTTGGGAGACAAGGATGAGGCTCCTGGTGTTGACTGACTCAGCTCTGGCTGTTGAGGCCATTTGGGAGTGAACCAAGAGACAGAAGATCTTTCTGTCTCTCCTTTCCAAAAAATACAAATATTTAAAAGAAATAAATCTGCAGTTCAGATAAAAATAATAAATATTTATCTAAAAAAAAAAGATTAAGGCATCTTCATGTACATTGAAGCTGGCCCACGGGGAAAATTTGCCTATTTACTCTCTGGTCCTGAGTTTTCCAAAGATCAGATAAACAGTTTAGTGTCTCCCTGGTGGCCCAAACTTTAGTTTGCACAACTCCCTTTTGATTTGTGGAAGGTCTCTTGGGGCCTAGTACAGACGCTCAATCCAAACAATGGCGTCCTGTAACTTGCATTTACCACCACTAAAGCAGATCACCGATGCTGGGACAGGATGGTTGAGGCGCCCAGGACCGCGCAAGGAACACGAAAGGGAGTGGAAGGAGGCGCTGGGTCCTGGCTGCCCAGGGAGGGGGCGTCCCAGAGGAAGCTGCAGCAGATACATTTCCAAAGGGGGACTTCTAAATTCACCAGACACTTCCTGCTACTTTCCCATCACAAATAAGATCAGGACAGGCATCAAGTCAGGACCCCATAAATACTAGATGGAATGTCTAGGTCTGACACCTGTTCAAGTTCCCAGCTGTAGCCTCCTGCTGATGCAAGACCCTGATGATGAGCAGCAATGGCTGAAATACTTGGGCCCCTGCTACTGACGCCGGTCTGCCCTGTACGTATTTTTAAACAACCCCTCCCTCCAAAAACAAAAACGAAAAATGGCATCATGCCTTCTCCATGTCAAATACAGATTGCTTGCCAAGCCCCAGTTTTTATCTTCTCCCTAACTTCTGGAAATTGAACTGCTGACTCAGAAAGATACGCATGATTTTAAGACTTTCAATCCGAAACAGTTGTCAAATTCCCAGGGGTGGGTCTGCTGCGTGAGCCCCTTTGCATGGATTTCATTTCACATGCAGAGCAACCCTTTGCATTTTTTCCTTTGGGTAGGCAGAGACACAAGGCCCTTGGCCACTGAGTGGTGAGAGCTGAAAAGACCACCTGAGTCAAGGCTAAGTAGTTGTAAACAGGGTGGAGCAGATTTCTGAGGGGTGGGCAGTGATAACTGGTCGGCAGTCACTGCCCAAATCCAGTCAGAACAAATGCCAGGAGATTATTTAAAGCTCAAGATATGTAGGGAAGGGCAATAGTATCCCAAATGGGCACCAGTATCTATTGAGGCTGCTCCACTTCCCATCCAGCTCTCTGCTGGTGGTCTGGGAAAGCAGTCAAGGATGGCCTTGTGACCCTGCAGTCACATAGGACACCCAGAAGAAATTCCTGGTTCCTGGCTTCAGCTAGGCTCAGCTCTGGCTGTTGTGGCCATTTGGGGAGTGAACTGGCTGATGGAAGATGTCTTCTCTCTGTAATAGGGCAATTAGGGTGGGAAGGTTTGGGGAAGGTGGGTGGGACAAATGTTTTCCGTTTTCCTGCCTGTCTCCGGGGCTGGGGTGGAGGGGAAGGAGCAAGGGAGGAGGAGGGAACTGCTCCCAGCTGCCAGGTTACATCAGTACCTGGGCAAGGTGATGTTCCCGAATTGGAGACTGTTCTGAGGGTATTGCTTGAGTGATCTGAGGCGCTGTTGGTTTCACTGCTCGAAGGTTGAGGAAATCAAGGTTGATTGGCTGACAAAGTCTCCCCTAGTACATCCACTCACGCTTAACCTAACCTCGGTCAGGAAAATTGTCCACCCTGATGTGCTTTCCATCGTAGGGCATCCGACGTCCAGCACAGGCCCAAATGAGCTGGCCATCATGTCCTCCTCAGGTACCTGGGTATGCTGTCCACTGCACAGGCATTAGCAATCAAAGAGGCCCAGTACCGACACATGCATTCCAAATCCTTTTTTAAAAAAGTTTTTGTTTTTGTTTTTGCTTTGTAATTCGAAGGTCAGATTTCCATTGCTCTGACTGGGCTGCAGCTCCCCCTGCAAGAGTGTGTTGGGCTGGGCCACAGCACCCACTGGCTTGCTGAGGATGGAGGGCGGAACAAGCTGATCAACTACCCCAGTGAAAGCTGACAGCAAGTCTCTGGGCCAAAGGAGACTCAGGCGGGCTATCACAGCCCGTCGACCTCGGAAAGATCCCCGCATCCGTGGAGCGCCGATATCAGCTGCATCTCAGAAACACGGAAAACACATGAGCAGAACCCTCGGAAAAGGCTCCACAGCGGGGACCCAGGGACGACGTCAGGTGGCAGTTCCCCGGGGAGTGCACGCTTGGGAAGCTGGGCGCGGTTTTTCCTCTTGTATTCTCCTCTCCCCCAATTACAGGAAGAAGAAAATGTGTAAATAAGGGTCTCACCCACTACCCCTGATCCTCGACCCTCCCCACCCTGATCAACTATGTAAGCATCATCACTAATAAAATAAAATAAAATTAAATTAAATTAAATTTAAAAAGATTTACAGAGAGAAGTAAGTCCCCACCAATGCCAGAACTGAGCTGATCCGAAGCCAGGAGCCAGGAGCTTCTCTGGGTCTCCCAGGTGGGTGTAGGTCACAAACAGGGATCTGGATGGGAAGTGAAGCAACAGGAATCCGAACCGGAGTCTAGATAGGATCCCGGCACAGGCATCCCAAGGATTTAGCCAGAAGGCTAAACGGGCCGGGCCTGCATTCCAATTCTTAAATAAACAAATAATAAAAGAATTAAAAACGATACCCAGGGCAAAGGGACTGACCTGCCCCCTCGGGAGGGTCAGTGGGTTGGGCCACACTCGAGTCCCGCCCCCCGCCTCGTTCTCACCCTCGCCCCGCCCCTCAGGGCTCTGCCCCGCCCCCGTCCCGCCCTCTCGCTTCCTGATCCAATCAGGCTCTCCGTTCTGCGCCGGCCGCGCCCTGCCACGCCCCTCGCCGCTTTGGGCACGCCCTCGTGCGTGCGGCGCTATAAGGTCCGGCTTGGGCGAGAATCCGCCCGGCGCTCGGAGCTGCAGCCATGGCGGTCTGCACGGAGGGCGCGCGCAGGAGGGAGCGCATCCTCTGCCTGTTTGACGTGGACGGGACCCTCACGCCGGCTCGCCAGGTAAGGCCCGGACGGCCGCAAGCTCCCTTCGTGACACTCGGAAGCCGAGCGTGCGGCCTCCGCGCGGTGACCGCGGAGAGCCCGGGAGCTGCGTATGGGATGCACGCGCGAACGGGGGCCGCCCACCCGAGTGACGGGGTCCTGTGCCCCCGGAGCGCCTGCCCGGGAGCTGTGGGGCAGGAGGCCGGCCAGCTCCTCCCCTCCGCCAGAGGCTCCTGCACGGCGAGGCCTGGCTGGCCAGCCGGCCCCGGTTCCACCCCACTGGAGCCGTGAGACGCGCCTGTGGACGGGGTTCCCGGCACGACTCGGTGCGCGCCCGGGCCTGGAGTCGCCATCTGGTGGAGACCGGCGTCTCAGAGCCACCCTACCTGGGCTTGGGGCGAGTTCACCCACTTTACCTTGTACCCCTCAGTCGGGGGAGACACCCAGGACCGTTTTGCTAATGGGTTTAAATGCCTCGACCACTTGGAAGTGAGAAGCCCACGGCCTCTCTGGTGCTGGTGAGGTCACCGGAGCACGGTGGTCCAACCCCACACTCACTGTCTTCGCTTTTTAGTGATTGGAAAATCAGATTTACAGAGAAGGAAACACGCGCTGGCTTACTCCCCAAGTGCCTAGGAGCTTCCTCTGGGCCTCCCACGTGGGTGCAGGGTCCCAAGGCCCTGGGCTGTTCTTAACTGCTTTCCCAGGCCACAAGCAGGGAGCTGGGGAAGCAGGACTGCTGGGACAGAAACTGGCACCCATGTGAGATCTCAGTGCGTGCAAGGTGAGGAGGATTTTAGTCACTAGGCTATCGCACTGGGCCCTAAAAATTATCACTTTTAAGATTTGTATGAGGACCCAGTTTGATGGATCAGTTGCTAAATCCTCACTTTGCAAGTGCCAGGATCCCGTATAGATACCAGTCCGTGTCCTGGCTGCTCCCCTTCCCTTCCAGCTCTCTGTGGCCTGGGTCAGTGGTAGAGGACGGCTCTGCACCCAGTTCACTCCCCAAGTGGCCACAACAGCCATGACTGAACTGATCTGAAGGCAGGAGCCAGGAGTGTTCTCTGGCTCTCCCATGTGGGAGACTTGGGCCGTGCTCTGCTGGCTTCTCAGGCACATTAGCCAGCAACTGGATCTGAAGTGGAGCAGCCAGGACTCGAACCTGCACCCGTATGGGATGCTGTGACTTAATCCGTCATGCCACAACACTGCCTGCAAAAGTTAATTCTTAATGATGCCAGTACATGCTGCTGCTGTTAGGGTGATTAGAGACTTTTAGTTCAGGCAGAGTTTTATTAGGGAAGAAGATCTAATCGGTGGGACTGCTCCCACATGGTGGGCTTTTGTACATCTTAGGCGTGGGGGGCTGGGAGAAGGCGGCCGCTCTGGATTTGACACGTAGCAAGTGACCCGCCGTCACTCGTGCTGGGCTGAGGTGAGGCCTGAGTGGCTCCTGTCTGGCATTCGAGTTGTTCCTGGGATCCGGGATGATCCGCCATGGCCTCCCTCACTCTGCTGCAGGCCAGTGTCCTTTGTCCAACCTAACACCTGTGAGGACAGGAACAAACAGAAGGCCGAAGTGTCCCCGGCCCAGTCAGGACCCCAGGGCTGTACGCAGTGTGTGCTGTGGTCTCGCTCCAGACTTGACCAGTGCCCAAATGGGATGCCAGTGCTTGCAGGTAGAGGATTAAACTGGTAAGCCATTCCACCAGCCCCAGCAACCTGCTTGAATGAATCTTAGCAGGTCTTGGGACCCACAGTGGTTGGAGGAGAAAATTGCCTTAATCTGTGTACCTGTAGGCGTGTTTGTTGTTCCCCGATGGTCAAGCCTATAGTTGTTACAATGTTGCGTTCTTATAAAACACCCCTTTGCCCGGTACCTGGGCGCTGGGCGCATGCCTGCACCAGCCAGCGTTCGGCCAGGAGCTCCGTCCAGCTCTCCCACAGCACCAGGGCCGTCTTCCACTGTTCCCCAGGCACGTTAGCAGGAGACTAGACTGAAGGCAGGGTGACTGTAAGGGAACTCCAGTATGGGATGGACCGTCCAGGCAGCAGCTGAACCCACTGCCCTGCGAACATCACGCACTGGAGCAGATACGGAAATGCATGAAAACATGGAGTTGAGATTATCTTTTTTTTTCCCCCTTGGGAGTAAATTTTCCATTTCCGAGCATTCGTTTTTAAATATATAATTATTTTACTTTTGCTGATGTTTCTGTAGTTGCCCATGTGAACCACTGGTTAGGATGGAAAGGGACAAGGAACCTTGTGTTTGCCTCCGATCCAAGGAGAAAGTGGGAGAAAGTGCACGTTCTCAGAGAGGGCTGAGCCGAGGTCAGCTGGAACCCTCTGTCTCTCCCACCCCCAATCTGTAGAAGATCGACCCCGAGGTGGCTGCCTTCCTCCAGAAGCTGCGGAGCCGGGTACAGATTGGCGTGGTGGGTGGCTCCGACTACTCCAAGATCGCTGAGCAGCTGGGCGACGGGGATGAAGGTAGGAGGCACCGCCCAAGGCTCTTGTAGGGCAGAGGAGGCGAGGAAGGGGAGAAGGGACAGCCAGAGGACTCCTGCCACAAGCCACCTTGCAGGGAGCACCTCCTGCCCACTCCTGAGCACTGTGCTGGGCTCTAGAGAAGGTCCAGTGGGATCCACTCCCACCACCTCCACGGCTTTGGCAGTAAGCTACCACCTGCTGTGAATCACACACACACACTAACTGCTTCCTTTAACTCCTTCCAGTCCCATGGTCCACTACCCCACTGGTAGTGGGTAGTCGCATGGCACCGAGAGCCCCTCTCTGGCTCTTTCACAGCCAGTGCCTTCAGTGCCTCAAACCAGAAACTTTCTCCATTTCCCCTTTTCCCTACCGCCTTGTTCATGCCATCAGCGAGTCCCCACATGGCTCAGTCTCTATGTTCCCCAGCCCCACGATGGCCAGGTGACCACCTGCCACAGCCCCTGGCAGAGTACCCTCCCTCCACTTCCCACTGTACCCACCCCAGTGGCTCCTGGCAGCTGGGATGAAGACTCTGCCTTCCTGGAGCAGGAGCACAAAATGTTGGGAAGTGTGGAAGCGAAGCCTGTGTCCCCAAGGGCGGAGAGCGGAGGTGCCACCCTCTGCTGGGTGTCCAGGGAAGGAGCTGGATCCCGATGGTGTGTTGGGGGTGGGGAGGGCCAAGAGAAGGGGGTGCAGGCTCAGGGATCTCCAGGAGCAGAGCCCTGGAGGTGTGACTGATTTGTTTGGAAGAAAACAAAGTTGCAGATGGAGAGCAGGCTGCAGATGCAGACTTGGGATGGAACAAGTGGGCTTTGAATGTGGGACAAACCAAGGAGTGTGGGCTTCTCTGCCCCTCCTGGTGGTCCCGGGCTCACAGTGGAACCTGCTGTTCTCCGCTTTCTTTCTCTGCTGTGATCCCCGAAGTGATCCAGAAGTTCGATTACGTGTTTGCCGAGAATGGGACAGTGCAGTATAAACACGGGCGGTTACTCTCCAAGCAGGTCAGTGGTCCCTGGGGGCTTAACCAGGGAGCCCAGTCATGGCACCTACTGCCCTGGGCTGGGATGCGCAGGCTGGGGCCCGTGGGTAGCCCAAGCTACACCCAGCCCTGTTTCCTTTATGTAGACCATCCAGAACCACCTGGGGGAGGAGCTGCTGCAAGACTTGATCAACTTCTGCCTCAGCTACATGGCCCTGCTCAGACTGCCCAAGAAGCGGTGAGGTCCCAGCCCCGAGTCTAGGACCTCGGGGTAGTGGAGGCGGCAGGAACCAGCATGGGGGCATGGTGCCGAGGCTCACATAGAACCTGGGGACGCTCAGGCCCCACCTGTGGGTGGGTGGGTGGAGGTTCTTGCTTCTTGGAAGGTTGTAGGCTGCTGTGGGGCTGGGCTTGAGTTCTCCATCCCCCACCTCCTCCACCACCAGTGGCACGTTCATCGAGTTCCGGAACGGCATGCTGAACGTCTCACCCATTGGTCGCAGCTGCACCCTGGAGGAGCGGATCGAGTTCTCCGAACTGGATAAGGTGCCACGGGCTGTGTGACCTCGGCCACTGCCAGCTGAGCCTTGACTTTTCACTGGTGGGATGCAGTGGGGCCGGAGGGCGGTAGGGTCAACACCCTTTAGGGCATCATCCCATGCCGCTGTCACAGGCCGCATCTCCATCTTGGTGCCACTGAGGGACAGGAAGTGCCACCCTAGAGGTGCCAGGAGCAAGCCCTCCCCCATGGCTCCCCATTGCCAGCTGCACGGCAACCCAGCCCCGATGGGGCTGCCTGGCCCTGGCCTCTTCGGCCCCCTCCCCGTACTCCCCACATTCCTCTTCCTTTCGCTGGAACTCACCAAGGCCCTCTCGCCTTTGACACACACGCAGCTTGTCACCGCTGCCGTCGGGTCCCCCGTTGGAGCACGTTGGTCCGTCTACACTTTTTCCCACGGCTCCATCTAGCCGTTCCCGCTTCTGCCTGCCCAGGCAATGGCCTCCTTGCTGGGTCAAGACAGAACTGGCAGCCTACTGCTCATAGCTGGACCCTCCGCCCGCAGCACGCTTCTCCTTTCAAGCCTGCTCTGACGTCACCTTCCTCGTGGGGCCCTTCTGACCCCCCCTTGGTTGTTGCTCCCCTGCATCTTGCTCCTCTCCCCCAGGAGTAGCTGTCACCACCTTGGGAGACACTGAATCATTTCCATTTTTATATGTGAAAGGTAGAAAGACAGACATATCTCCCATCTACTCATTCACTCCCCTCATATCCTCAGCAGCCAGGGCTTGGGCCAGGCCAAAGCTCGGAGCTTGGGACTCAGAGCTGGGGCTCCCATGTCAGCGGCAGGGACCCAAAGACTGAAACAGCCACCTGCTCCCTGGGTGTACATTAACAGAAAACCAGATTCTAGAATCTGAAGTAGAGCAAGATTACAACTGGAGGCATTCTGCTATGGGGCATGGGTAACCCGAGTGGCGTCTTAAAGTCAGGGTTACAGAGAGGAGGGAGGTACTTGGAGAGCCAGCGCTGGCCCACATAGAGGCCAGGAGCCAGGAGTTTCAAGTCTCCCACACGGGTGGCAGGTGTCCAAGCATTTGGATCTTCCTCCACTGCTTTCCCCAGGCCACTAGCAGGGAGCTGGATGGGAAGTAGAACATCTGGGACTCAAACCTGTGCTCCTATGGGATGCTGGTGCTTAACCTGCTAGGCCATGGGGTTGGCCCCTCTTTCTGAGTGTCAGCGACAGCAGGGCAGGGATTGGTGAGTGCTGTGCTGTGACTTGCTGGCTGCAGGATGCCCTGAGCCTCACACAGCACCTGCTCAGGGCATGTTTTCCGGAGGAAGGTCAGCGGCTGCTCCCAGGTGTATGAATGAGGAAACCAAGGCAGGAGGAAATGAACGAGGTCGCTGAGAGAGTGAATTGCAAAGTCAAGGTTTCATTCTAGCATTTCCTCTCTGATGTCTCCCTGGCGGGAGGGGGAAGGACTAAACCCCAGTACTACCAACACTGCCACCCTGTGCCCAGGCTGGTGCCCAGGCTGGTAGACAGCGGCCACAGGCATGGGGACGTCTCTTGCTGGGGTGGCTAAAGTTGACCTCTGCTGTGGCTGGCGTGGTGGTGCAAGGGGTTCAGCCACCACTTACAATGCTGGCACTCTGTATGAGCACCTGTTCCAGTTTGGCTCCCTGCTAACTCCTGGGAAGGCAGGAGCCCCTGGCACTGCCATAGGAGTCCTCACTCCTGACATTGGCCCGGCCCAGCCCAGCATGGCAGGCTTCCTGTTTCTCCCTCTTTCTCTGTAACTCTGCCTTTCAAATAAGCCAGTAGCCCTTCACCAAGAGCCCATCCCCCGTGCAGCAGTGACTCCTCAGGCCTTGGACACCTCTGCTGGGGAGGCAGGACCCACCCACCTGCTAGAGATGCCAGGCCAAGCTCGCACAGTCCCCACTTGTGCTGCTCCTCAAGAGGGAGCCCTCTAGGACTTCATCCAGGAGATGGGTTCTGAGCGGTCAGGTGCAGGTTTGCCTGGGATCAGTGCTACAAAGCACAGCAGCCTAACCTGCAGCTCAAGCGGCCTGCCTTGGAGGTCTCAGAGGTGGGAGTCCTTGGTGGCTCCTGGTGGCTCAGGAAATGCTCAGACTGCCCCTCCAGGCCGTATGGGAGTTGCGTTTTCTGCCAAGTGATGCTTGCTGGCCACAGAAGCTAAGGGCTGCTTGCACATCCAGCTGTTCCTCCAGGCACAGCCTGGCTGTTCCCCTAGCTGGCCTCTAACAGGGACAGGCCCAGCGGTGACTGCTCCCCACCCCCGTACCACTCCATGTTGCTGCCAGAGTTCCCAGGTCTGATCAGAGGCTGCAGGCCCTGCCCAATCTAGCACGCAGAAAACACTCAACCAACAGCAAGTTGTTGCCATGACTCTGTGGCCATACCCGACCCCTGAACACCTGCTGCCGCCAGTCACAGCTCCTCTCCTGCTCCCAGCGCCTCATGCCCACCTCTGGCATCTAGCCACTGCTGTGTGCTGTGTGGAGCTGGGCAGGGCACAAGGCCACCTCTGCTCCCAGGCCACCTTCTGAATGATCATCCATCCCCGCACACAGGTGGGATCTGGGACTAAATGTTGAGTCACAGGCCTTCCAGGCCTTAGCATGCCATACCACTGAGCTGGATGACCTTGAACAAGGCCCAGTCCTCTGAGCCTCTGGATGGTGTGGGTCCTCCGGGTTGGGTGCCCAGCATGGGGCCTCCCCTCTGGGGCCCCCAAGCTTCAGTGTGCTCCCCCCCCCCCCACAGAAGGAGAGAATCCGGGAGAAGTTTGTGGAAGCCTTGAAGACAGAGTTTGCTGGCAAGGGGCTGAGGTTCTCCCGAGGTAAGCCTGCCCTGCTGCAGGCACGTGGCCCAGCTGCTTCAGCGGGATTCGTCCCAGCCCAAGGCAGGGAGCCAGCCCGCGGCCTGCCCCATGCCTGCTTCATCTCCCTTGACTTCTCTCCCAGTCCCAAGCCCAGTCTACCAGTAAGTCCAAAGGCACCATGTCCACCACCTCTGCTGGCCTTGCGTCCCACAGACACGTGACCTGACACAGCCAGCGTCCCAGCCCATCTCAGCTGATTGCCCAGGAGCCAGGGGGAGACCCTCTGTTATGTCTGGGTCCTGCTGGGAGCCTGAGGCCCTGAGCCCTGATGACTCTCAGGTCCTCCCGGTATCACCCCTCCAGCAATCCCCCCTGATTGTTGCTGGGTCACCTCCAGGTCTCCCACCTGATCTGTAATTTTCCCCAAGGGTCCCGTGTCCCCCAAGAGTGGCGCTAAGTAGGCTTTGCCCAAGCTCACCTTCCCAGGCCGCCCTGGCCACCTTATCGACCTCTCCCAGGAGGGAGTCACAGCCCCGCCCCTTCCACAGGAGGCATGATCAGCTTCGACATCTTCCCCGAGGGCTGGGACAAGCGCTGCTGCCTGGACAGCCTGGACCAGGACACCTTCGACACCATCCACTTCTTCGGGAATGAGACCAGCCCTGTGAGTGTGACCCCATCCGGGTGCCCCGGCCCAGGGCATGACCAGGAGCAGAGGAGACAGAATGAACCTCCCCGGGGCTCCCGGAGAGCAGCCAGTGCACCAGGCCATCATTCTCAGGCCTGAAGGTCCAGAGAGGGCTGGCACTGGGGGGACAGGAGGAGCGTCAGCTTTGCAGGAGCCGGTGTGGGAGGGGTCTCCATGTCCAGGGTGGGGGGGGTGGATGGCCTCCAACCCCCAGAGCCTCCTGCAGGTGTCACTAACTCCAGGCCTTCCTCACAGGGTGGGAATGACTTTGAGATCTACGCCGACCCCCGCACCGTTGGCCATAGTGTGGTCTCGCCCCAGGACACGGTGCAGCGATGCCGAGAGCTTTTCTTCCCAGAGACGGCGCATGAGGTGTGACCCCGGCCCCCACGGTGACTTCCAGAACGCTCTGCCTAGACCCACAGAGAGCCCACCCCTGGGGTTGGATGGGCGGCTCGAACGTCCCCTTCGCTCTGGCCCAGGACACCTGCCACGAGGTCCACTAGATGGGACCAGGGTCTGCATGGACAACCGTCCCCAGCCAGACGGCCCCTGCGCAGGACCAGCTCCCAGCCTCCACCCCAATGGCCCTGGCCACAGCTGCTGCTTGTACAGGCTCCTGTCCATGCTGGGAGATGGCATGGACAAGCGTCAGTGTGACGAGGAGCCTGCCCCGCCTGCCGACTGTCCCGGGCAGATAGCGGAGGGGGTACGGTGTGTATTCAGAGAACTTTCTGTCCTCTATATTAAACCCACAGCGAGGCACGTAGTCCAAGTCTGAATGGATGCTGAGCACACACTGGTCACCACCCTGGAGGCACAGGGCCAGTGGGGGGATAGGGAGACAGTGCCTCGGACCAGGTGACACCAGAAGTCTTCCACCCTAACATGGGGGGCCCTGGAGCCCTCAACAAGGGCCGGTTCAGTGATACTTCCCCAGCCGCAACCTCCAGGGCCCCCAGACAAATGGTGACTCCGGGCCATCGTGGGTCACAGTTGAGAGTTTATTGCCAGTGTTGGGGAGGGAGACGCCAGGAGGGTTTCTCACCAGACACTGCAGGGACTAAGTGGGCAGAGAGCTGCTATCTCCACTTCCTGCTGCCAGCTGGGCTCCACCCCACCCCCTGGTAAGCTCCCCTGTTGTAGCTGCCTTGCCAGGGGTCCCAGGGGTCCCAGGGGCCCTTGTTCCAGACATGCCTTGCTGGAAAAGCCCCACTCAGAGCTGCGATGAGGCTGGGTCCATGCCAGCTGGGGCTCTACTCTGCTAGCAGGGGTGGGAACAGGTGCTCTGCCTTGGGTCCCAGGGCGCCACCAAGGCCAAATAAGCCCCCCAGCCAGCCACTGACCCTCCTATGCTTGGCATTAGAGTCCCAGTTCTACCCAGATGAGGACTTGGAGTGCCACCATCCCCGGAGGCCCTCCTTAGAGCTCATGACCCACCCCCATTCCTTACTTCCTCCAAGTGTTAAGCTCTCGAGAAGAGGGATGGTGGGCAGGGCCCAGCCCAGCCCTCTGGCCTGCGAGGGGCTGCGAGTGAAAGGGGGAGCTGTCATCTGGGACAAAGAGGAGGGCAGTGCCCCAGCAATGGTGCCCTAGGTGGAGGGTCATGCCTGGGTGCCTAGGCCTGGCCCTGCCTTGCTGTGTCCTTCATCACAGCAACTTCAGAGGTCACCAGGGCCAGGCACCTGGCTGTAGGAATTGTGGGTAGGAAGGGGGGCTCCATCCCGGCAGGGCCCCCCACCTACTTGGGGGGAGAACATGAGCTGGGCTCGGCGCAGCCTTCGTGGGGCTCACAGGAGGGCCCTGTAGCCCCCCAGCCTGTCAGGTGTGCTGAAGTGAGGAGATCCCTGTCAGCCCCTGAGCACTTGCTGGCCTGGCTCGGAGGGGGAGCATCCACGGGAGACGCCGGCCATGGGGGAGGCCAGAGCTAGGGAAAGGGGTGGGAGGGGGAGGGTGTCGTGTGTATGCAGCAGCAGGGGAACAAGGAGAGACAGCAGACAGGCAGGCGGAGAAGGCAGGTCCAACAGCCTCCCCTCCACCCAGCTCCAGGCCAACTCACAGGACAGTCACAGGTCACGGGGTGGTGGAGGCACACACACACGGCCACGAGCACAGACGACAAACAGGTGCACAGTGGGGCATATGTGGAACCAGCTGCTGCCCACCTGCCCGCCCACCCTGTGGGCTGGCTCCCCCTCTCCCAACCTAAGAGCCCACAACCTGGCCGGACCACGTCTCGTGGGGCGTGTGGGGGGCCAGCTGGGTGAGCACCACCTCGACGGCCTGGAACTTCTGGTTCTTGGGTGGGATGGGGCACATCTTGTAGGTGACCTCATCGCCCTCCACCGGCACGTACTCGCCCTCGATGCTGGTGGGGGTGAGGGCAAGAGCGGTGTGAGAAGGGCTACACCCCACAATGCCACCGGGGCCTGGGCATGGCGTGGGGGACGATATGAAGCTTTGGCTCTCGGTAAGTAGGGATTTGAAGCAGCCCCAGGCCTCAGAAGTGGGTGGAGTCGAGCCTAGACCCACCTCCCCGTATCCCCTCAACTCCCAGCCGCGCTTCCTTGAGGGGCCAGAGGGGCCAGGAACACTCATCTCAGCAAGGAGAGATTGGAGAAGCACTGCTGGAGACAGGGCCCAGCCAAGAGCAGGGAGGGCTGACACTCACTCAGAGACGTGCACGAAGATGTCTTCAGAGCCGTTCTCGGGCGTGATGAACCCGTGGCCCTGTGAGCGCGAGAACTGCTTGCAGACGCCCTTGAACACAGGGCCGGCCGAGGCACGGGCTGTCCTGCAGAGGTGGGGAGTGGGGAGCGATTTGGACCAGAGCCTGGGGAGCCCCTCGCCTGGACCCCACCTACTGAGCCTGCCCAGCCCTCGCCCGGGCCCCACCTCCCAGTACCCCTGCCTGTATCACAGGCCATGAGGCTCAGGCTCAGAGAGCAGAACCTGCTCTGCCAGCCCCTCCTGGGGCAGCCCTCTGCACAGCCCCCTCCCTCCTGAGGCTGCGGGAGCCCACCCAGCCTGGGTGTGCCCTAGGCGGTGCCTTTGCTCAGTCCTCCCACTCTTCTCTGGGCCTGGCCTGGCCAGGCCTGGGAGCACAGACACTGGCCACAAACCCCCTGGCCAGGACCCCCCCACAAGTCCATGCCACCAGATGCCACTCAGCAACCCCTGCAGGCCTACGTCTGGCTTGTTCACCCCTCAAGGTTCGCTCCCCACGTAATGCTCCTTCTTGGTACCAGGTGGTGGGTACCACTCCTGTGCACCAGGCTGTCCTTTGTCTTACAGGGGCTGCCCCCTCCTGGGCTGAGGCCAAGGTCAGAGAGCCTCTGGTGAGGACAGGTACTCACGCTGAGTATGTTCTGGTCCGCTTGGTGGGCAGGGGGCTGGGCAGGTCTCGAAGAGACGTGCTGCCCCGCTCCCAGACCCTACTGCCTTCCCGGTGGAAGGGGAAGGTGGGCCACACGGGGGACTTGGGGGAGTGCAGCGGCGGCACCACCGGAGGTGACGTGGGCTCCGACGATGTCATGGTGGGGCCGACAGGAGAGCTTGGTGGGCTCTGGGGCCCAGGGGCCAGGGAAGGGCTGGGGTGGCCCTGCGGGCAGGGCCTGGCCTGGCCCTGCTCGGCAGCCTCGCCAGTCACGGGCTCCGTCTGGAAGAGAGAGGGGTGCAAGTGAGCGCCGCCACTTGGCCTTGAAGCTTGGTGGCTTCCCTGCCCATCCTCGGCCCTGCACCTGCACTGAGAGAGATGCACTGGAGAGAGAAGGGCCTGCACTTCCCATCACCATGAAACTGAGGCTTCTAGAAGAGACACAGCCTCACAGAGGGTCACAGAGGCAGTAGGAAGTGGGGGCGTTACACATCCACAGACATACGGGCAGCGGTGTCCGTCTGGCCATGCGGTAGGGCTACACTTGACCGTGAGAAGCTACTGACTCACACTGCAACCCAGACCAGCACTGAAAGCGTTATGCGGTGTGGAAGACGCCGACACACCCTCACCTGCGTCCATTCATGAGCAATGTCCACATGCCCGGGACGCAGGCAAGAGGTGCCCCGAGCCGGGGGGCAGCCAGGTGCAGAGAGGTGCCCAGGTGCAGAGTCTTCTCCTGGGGCCACAACTCTGCACACCTCCTGAAAACAACTCAATTACTCCCTGAACAGGTGAATGGCGTGCTGCGTGATTCATAGCTCCATAAAGCCGCTCCCCAAAAAAGATGGGCGGCCGTCACCCGAGATGACACAGCTGGGGGAAGCCCCACAGGCACGGCCCCGCAGCGCCTCCTGCGGTGGCCGCAGCGCCCTCCTTGGGCCAGGCCCCGCCTGCCTGCTCTCTCCTCGGGAACATGGCGACTTGGCCTCTCCAAGCCCTGGTGTGGTGCCTGGCGGTGACAGCCAGCGCTCTGAGGTCCTAGGGGGCGGAGCCCAGGCAGCCCGCAGCGGTTACCAGGGAGACACAGGCTCCTCCCTCAGTCGCTCCTGCCTGGCAGGTGCTCCAGGCCTCCTCCAGAGCAGGCAGTGGGGGAGGAGGATACACCCAGGAACCAGGGGGCCTCCCCTTGCCTTGCCCTCCCCCATGACAGACCCTGGAAGTGGTCGGGAGACCAGAGAGCAGAGGGCGGTAGGCAGGACAGCCACTGCAGCTTGCCTCTGGCGGTGTGTGTGTGGGGAGGGCCTGGGCAGGAGGGCAGCATCCAGAGACAGGGCGGTGTGGCCCTGCACCTCACTTGGCCTCAGCTTCCTCAGCCGGAGAATGGGCCTTCTGAGAGCCACCCCTCTATGTCACCTCCACTTCAGATGTGGAAGCTGCCCCCACACAGCTGGGAAATGACCAAGCTGAGATGTGCTTACTCAGTGCGTTCCTGTGAGGACAACAAATGTTGCTCCCTGTTCTGCCAGAGAACTCCCCCTGAGCACTGGTCCAGGCAGTAAGCTCCCCAGCTCTTATCACAGCAGCCTGCCTGGAAGCGGAGGGTTCAGGGCAGCAGTGAAGGGTCCACCTGTGACCAGGCAGCTCCCAGCCAGCCACGCTCTTCATCCTCCTTGTTCCTCTGTGATTCTGCAGGTGAGGGGGTGTGGACATAACATGGGGCCTCCAGGAGGTGTGATGGCCACCCCGGATGGAGGCACGGCCACCTCGGCCACTGACGACAGCCCAGGCACCTTCTCAGTTCTGCCATATAACACGTGGCTGTCATGAGCCTCTCTTGACTGTCAAAGTTCCACTCAGCCCCAGGGAAGGTCAAGGAGAGTGAGCAGGCTCGACCTCTCCAAGCTGTGTGGCCAGGGGGCTGCACCTTTGCCTCGGGCTGCAGTGACTCATGGTGACTAAGGAAGGCCAGTCCAGCTCCAAGGCTGTTACAAACACACACTGGGGACATGTACCCCAAGGTGACATTCCCCAGTTCACGTTCAGCAAAAACAAATCACAGCAACGCACACAGAACAGATGCAAGTGGGAGATCCAGGACTGGAGACGGCCCGGTCCTTACAGGTGCCCCCAGTCCAGGGAGGATGGAGGTAGACGGACACAGCAGAACCCAGCACGCACGGTGTGGCCTGGTCGGTTTCTGCCTATTGGCTGTTAAGCATGTGCCGAATCCTCAGTGTACCCATTCTCCAGCTGGGCATACTGAGGCTTGGAGAGGTGCCACGGTCGCACAGTGGGTCAGGGCAGCATTTCTGCCCCCTGGAGATGTCTGGGGAGGGGAAGGCAAGGAAACCAGGAGTTCCTTGGGAGGCCTGCCCATCCCTGGAAGGAGGCAGGGCAGGGGGTGGAAGAACTGGGGAGTCAGGACTGGGGGTTCTATTTCTAGCTTTGTGCTGACTCAGACCCTGACCTTGGGTGAGTCACTCGCCTACTCTACTAGGCTTGAAAACAACTCCCCCAATAAAAGCGTCCCAGCCCCAAACCCCCATTATAGGGGAGCAGATGGGACAAGAGGGGGCTGGCTGTGTGAAAAATAGAAAGCAACACAGGACAATGACAAGAGGGCTATCTGAAGCCTCAGTGGATCGGGGCTGGATCATGGGGGGTCCTGGCCTGGGAGGGAACCAGCCCAGGGACCACCAGACAGAAGCTGGCACCTGTCTGGCTCCCCCCTCTCCCTGGGGCCACCCTGACTCTCCTTAAAATACATCCGTGCCGGAGCTGCTCCTGGTGCTGGAGCTGACCTAATTAAACCTGTTCCCTGAGTGTGAGGGAGGGAGAGTGTGAGGACCGGGTTAGGGGCACCCGCCAAACCTCCAGCCCAACCATCTGAGCACCTGCCACACACTCCCAGGCTGCCTCAGGGGCCGCCCTTGAGGCTTTCAGAGCATCGTGGGGGTGGGCAAGCCAGGCTGGGTCTGGGAAGGCCAGGGTGGCCATCTGTGTGGCCTAGCAAGTTCTTGCCCCGTTCTGAGTCCTCAGAGGGAAGAGGGGCCCACCTATCAGACATGCAGGGTCATTGAGAGTGGGTACGACCAGAGCCCATGGCCGGTGTGACTCAGGGCTAGCTTTTGCCCCAGGCCGGGCAAGAGCCCCCTCTCCTTTTAGCCTCCCATTTTGCTGCTCAGGATGGACAAAAGTCTGGGTTGTCCCAAACGTCCTGCTCACAAGGTTCTGGGTTCTAGCCACTGCCATCTGGTTGTTGACCAGTGGACGTGACCAACTCAGCCAGGACGTGAGCGCTGTCTGCTGGGGGGGTGACCTTGGGGGTGTCAGGGCCACCTCCTGGATCCTCACCAGCGGGCAGCCCTCGACGCTGCCCCAGCCCTCTGTCTCCAGGCCTGAGCCAGGTCTCTGTGGCTCAAAACCCCCTGGCCTCGCGCGGGCTCCTATGCACTTTGGTTTTTGGGGTTTTGTTTTTGGCTGTAGAGGTAGATCAATGATATTTTGAGATGATGTTTTGAGGGGGAAGGACTTCCAGAGAATAAGGGGAGAGGAGAGACTGGGAGAAACATTGGGAATTTGGAGAACTACGAGGTCGATGGAGTCGGATTCAGAAACCGGCCTTCCGTCCACCCAGGGGACTGGAAACCGCCCCCTGCCAGGGAGAAGCCCCTGCTATATTGTATCCGGAGGGCATGGTGCCAGGCTCTCAGAGTGGCTGCCCACCCCCTGCCAGGCACACTTCCTCATCCCCGCCCCCAGCCCCAGCGGATGCAGTTCACACTCTGTATTTATTATTGTTCTCGCGCCAGCAGCCCCCCTCCCCTCTCCCTGGGGAGAGCCTGCAGGCTGGCAGGCTTGGCAGGAACCTGCTGTCTCCTTGTGGGTGCCAGCTTTGCCCCTTATCTCCGTTTGCACTACTTGTGCCAGGGTCAGGCCATGCAGGGGCTTGGTGCATCACGCAGCAGGGGTGGCCCAGCAGGCCCTGCCGGAGAGGGCTGCACCCTGATAGGGGTGGAGGTCAGAGGGAAACCAACAGGCAGGGGTGGGGGGAGGCTGGGGCTGCAGGCCGGCTGGCTCCCAGGAATAAAATATCATGAAGCCACCTCTAAAAGCCAATTAATACAATTATCCCCGCCACGCTAGGGTGGGTTGGGGGCGGGGAAAGGGGTTGGAATCAAGTCAGGATAAGACAGCTGCTCCAGTCCCCCCATCGGCCTGCCCCAGCCCCAGCTTGCACCGGAGACCCCCAGTGCCCTCTGCCCCCTGTGGCCCTTCTTCCCACACCTGGAGACAGCAGGGTGGAGGTGGGCAGTGGCTCGCTCTGGTACCCAGCTCCCCAGACAGGACGCTGTGGCTTGGCAAGTGTCTGTTCTTCTCAGCCCCCTGAGCCAGACACAAGTCCCCCCCATCTAACATTCAGACAGATACCCCCAGGGAGCCACACGGCCTCAGCTTCCCTGGGGGTCAAGGGGAGACAGGGGGAGGGGCAACGGGAGCACCTGCATCGCCCCGCATCCCCCCTGCAAGCTGAAACCAGGCTGGTCCAGCCCCCACCGTCCCAGTCTCTCCCGCCACCCCACCCCTGCCTCACCCCTGCTGTACCTCCACATCCCCACCTCACACCCCTGCCTGGCCATGGTCTCCAGCCCGGTACCTTCAGCACCCGCCCCTCTCCTATGTAGCCCCTTACCTCTCCCTGCTGCTGGGGTCCAGACACTGCCTCCTGCAGCCAGCACAGCGCTGTACGCGGATGGGCGGGCAGCGGCCGGGTCTGGAAGATGTGCTGAGCGTGTGTATGTGTGTGTGTGTGCAGCAGGCGGGCCCCTTAGCCCCTCACTCACTCACACACGCCTCCCGCTGACGTCAGCATGAGCAGGAGGGAGGGGCTGGGTGGGAATCTGTACTCACAGCTTAAAGGGACACCAGGCTCTGTCGCTTCGGCGACGCCTCCTGAGCGTCTTGTTTGGAAAGTGGCTTTTATGGCTGGATTAACTTGCCAGGTCAGCTGGCCACTGAGGAATGCAGGGGAGGAAAACTGGGGACCCACAGCCTGGCAATTAGAGTGCGGGGGCGGGGTGTGACGGCGCTCAGTGTTCACACGCGGCGTGTGCACCCCAGGGCCTCCGGGGACGGGGCGGGGCGGGCTGGGAGAAGGGCGGCCGGGTGCTGCAGGCAAGGACAGGGACTCCCAGACCGACACCAGGGGCCGTTCCCTCACTGGGCTCTGAGATGCAAGGTGAAGAGGGGGGCGAGCCCTGCTCCCCGGTCCCCAGCAGGCCCCGAGGGCATGCAGCCTGACTCACACATGCTATTCACACACACCCTCACACACAACGCTCACACATGCTGGTCACAGACTTTCACATTCAACATACTCACACACCATTCACAGGCCCACACACACATTCACATACGTACCACTCACAGCCTCTCACACACACTCCACTCTCACACTTACCACTCAGAGACTCTCTCACACACATTCACACACTCACATGTAGATCCTCTCACACTCACTGTATC